ACATGACGCTTACCTTTATTGAAGATTTTTCTTAGTGTATGGAAGATGGGTAGTAGGGGACAGGATGGAGAAATTAATGTTTGGAAGGGGAATCCCCTTCCATAAAGACTTCAGGTACCAAGTCTTTTTCTGGGGTTACTTCCCTTCTTTGTTTTTTAATGCCACTAGGACAAGCTTGAGAGTCACTGCACACCTGTGGCACTAAATATCTGTCCAGAGAGCTCTGTTTCTGGCATTTCTTTAAAATTTCCCTAAAATGGGACAAGACATTGTCATTGTACATGTTGCCGACACAGACCGCAACAGCTTTGTTAGGGTGATGTTCCTCCACAAATCTTTCCATCCTACTCCACAATGCACAAATCTCCATTACTACCACCCTCTACCATCATCACTACCACCCTCTACCACCATCACAACCACTACCACCCTCTACCACCACTACCACCCTCTACCACCACCACCACCATCACAACCACTACCACCCTCTACCACCATCACAACCACTACCACCCTCTACCACCATCACAACCACTACCACCCACTACCAACATCACAACCACTACCACCCTCTACCACTATACCATTACTACCACCACTTTCATATTTTTCTACGATCTTTTTCTTTAATTCTATCATGTTCGTCACCTTCTTTAAGAGTGCCACAAATGCTATGCCAAACTATAGGTTTAGCCTTGTAATATACACTATTAGCCTACTATTGTAAGTCTTGTGTGTTTTCTTGGGAAATAAAGTTACCTTACCTATCTTATCTTTTAAGACTATCTTCCTTATCTCAATTACTCATACTCAGAAGTCAAGAATATTAGTTTTGATATTCATTACTGCATAATGTATGCACACATACCAAAGACATTATTAACCCTTAAACGGTCCAAATGTATATACGTACATGTATATGTTCTCTCACGTAGCGCCCCAAACGTATATATAATTGGCCTAAAATAGGAGTAAAAGTGGGCAAAAATCGCCGATGCATAAATATCACTGACGCAATAAAATTTGTGAGCGTAATTTCACCAATTTTCCATCAAATTTTGTATTTTTTGTTTCATTACCTTCAGAAAAAGATTCTCTACCATTTCATAAGAAAAAATAACAATTTTAATTTTAAAATTCTTGGATCCTGTGGACAAGGCGTAGAACTACGGCTTTGATCATCAAAGGGTTAATCATGTCCCCAGGCCTCTTCTATATTACACTTGCCTTCCATTTTGAATTCATCACACAAAAAATCGAAGATTTACCTATTTCTCATATAATAAAATATAGTCAGGAATGACTGTTCATGGCTTACAGCATCCCAGTAATTGAACCAGACCTATTAAAGACCCATAAAACAGATTGTGGAGTGTAGGGGATGCCTTACCTGTTTACATGAAGAAAAAAAAAAAGGGAGTATTTTGCTACTCTGACCTAGATTTCAAGCTACTGCTTGTCCTAAAACTATTCAAAATTATATCTTCCATTCTATCAAATGATACCAATAAAGGGGCAATAAAACCATAAAAATATCCAAGAAAATACTTCAGTCGCTATTTTAAATTAAACACTATGTCAGGTTTTTCCTCTTCCCATCATACACTGCAAGGTGCAGTATTTTTCATGCTGTGCACACTCACTGCAAAGACCCATTCTCTCATATCTATGCCAAAATTTAATGCTCACAGCTTATCTGAGGGAGTTGTGTTCAAAATGCAGATCTATGTGAGGGACCCTGGCATCAATAACATAGACCTATGTAATGGCCACTGCTAGGGTGAAGTCAAATCATGTGAGCCAAAATGTGTTACATTATTTTTAAAAATTCAATGACAAATATACTTATAAAGTAGAAATAAAAGGTGCCATATGAGAATGAAGACAATGGTTGTGGACAGCACCTGTTCAGTACTGAAGACAAGTTCATCTTAGTTTTCTGTAGTTACAATCAAGATTATAAATGTTTTGTAATTAGTGAATGCATTCAATTCTGACAAAAAGCATAAAGAACACGCATGCCTTCTATTTTCATGTCCTAGATTTCACCGAGAATTCTAAAGAATTGCCTTCACATATATTTCCTAGATTATGTGTACTTTTACTTTGCAATAGAAAATACACTAAAGCCAGACAGACAGTATTAAATTTCCAGAAATGATTGTATAAATTTCCAAGTTTAACAACTGCATTCCAGTCAGTAGTGCTGAGTGTAAACAACCAAACAAATCAAATCAAATTCTATCTTTATGATTTTCCATTCAAAACTGTAAAACAATGTTTGACAACTTTCATTATTTTGTATTAAATTACTGTATATAATGCATTTTTGAATGAGCTTGAGGAGACTTATAACTTTGTGTCATTCTTGTGTAATTAACCCCTTGACTATTGCAACCCCCAATCCTGAGGTGTCTCCTGGTGTCGCAAAATTTCCAAAAAAAAAAAATTATTTTTTTATTATGAAATAATAGAGAATCTTTTCCCGATTGCAATGACACCAAAAGAACGAAATTTGATGGAAAACTGATGGAATTACGCTCTCACGAAGTTAGCGACCTCGGCGATATTTACGAATCGACGATTTTGCCCATTTTGAGCCCTATTTTTGGCTAATTCCATTGCTCCAGTCGACCAAACTCATAGCCATTTCTTTAGAACTCCATTTTTTCTATCAATTGAGTACAAGAAACTGCCCATTTACTGATTTCAACTACCCAATAACATGGTCAGAAATTTGCAATTTGGCCAATTTCACGAGAATTAAAAAATATGACAATTTCAAAACAGGGCCCAGAATGAACAATGCAGACATTCCTGGCTCTAAAATAACATTTTCTTTGTTCATCAGTCACGTCTCCAGGCTCCTCTGATATTACTCTTGCTTTCTATTTTGAATTTTTATTCAAACAAAAAATAGAAGATTTACTGTTATGAAGACTACTTCAATATTGTAATAATTGTATAAATAATGTCAACCCATTCATGACTGCATATTAGAATGGCTACTTGGACATTTATTGGAAAATGACATCATTTGTTTACTTTTGAACATCTGCAAAAATCAAACATTTCCCCTACTTTGAGCTCCATTTCAAGGTTCTTTTCATAGTAAAACCAATCAAAATCACTTCTATTTCTATAATATGTTTTCCATTCTATCAAATGAGACCAAGAAAACGAGAATACAACCATAAATACTATACAAAAATATACCACAAATTCAGCATTTTAATTAAAAAATGGTCGGAGTTTTTTTTCTTCTCATTATGCACTGTGTGTTGCAGGATTTTTTTATATGGTGCACACTGACCACACAGACCCATTCTCTCACATGTGGGCCTACGAGCTTTCTCCTGCTTGATTTGAAGCCGCTAGAATTTATGAGTATATATACTTTACAGAGGGTCAAATGTGAAATATCTGTTTCTGTCAACATAATATTGAAGTAAGCTGCCAAATGTCAATGCTTGTAACATTTATTACATGATGTAATTATGAAATTTTACTTTAAAATGCAATTTTTCTTTGGGTATCTTGTTAAATAAATTAAAATGATTTGCCTAATATCCGAATACGTACATGGAATTTTCTTTTAATAAACTGGACATCTCCTACTGAGGTAGGGTGACCTAAAAATGAGGAAATACATTCCCATCACTCATTCAATAGCTGTCTTGCTAGAAGTGTGTAGGTATCACAATTCAAATGACCCTCCGAAGAGCATAATTACCACCCCTCCCTTCGGAGTGCAGGTATTGTAATTTCCACTTCCAGGACTCAAGTTGAACTGGTTTCCCTGAATCCCTTTATCAATGTTACTTTGCTCACACTCCAACAGCATGTCAAGTTATAAGAACTACTCTTCTCCACTGACTCCTGTCTAACATTCACACAAGCCTGCTGGATGCTCAAGCCACTAGCACTTGAAAACCTCCTTTACCCCAACCCTCAAACCCTTCCTAGGATAACCCCTACCCCTCCATCCTTCCACCCGATTTATATACCCCTTTGGTTATCCTATCCTGCTCCATCATCTCAAAATACCCAAACTACCTCAGCAACCCCTCCTCAGCCCCTTGACAATCCTAATCTGTCTCCTAATTTCTATATGCTCTGAATTTTCTACATAATATTCATGCCCAAAACTGGTCTCAAATGATGAAATCAGCACTGTCTCCAGCCTCCTTGTTGCTGCAATGTTTACAGCCCATGCCTCATACTTATAAAACTGTTGGTACCACTATACTCTGATACATTCTCCTATTTGCATCCATACACTAGAGCTTATAGGTAAAGTGTCTTTTAAGGTAATGATCCAGTTCAGGGTATCTGGGAGACATCTGATGTTGATTTTAAATCATTATTACAGGGCCATAAATTTTACAAAGAAAGAAACCCTGTTATTGGAAATGGAAGTTGAAGTGTTTATATATAGCTATTAATTATGGAATTTTATTTAAATAATTCATTTTGGGTAAAAGGCTAAGACTAATACTTGCCCACTCAGCACTTAGGAAATTTCAAAAAATAATTCTGCTACTATCTTCCTTATCAAAATTATCAACACCGAGAAGAGGTTTCAAATAATGGTTTCGACAAGCCATTACTATGTGATTACAGCATACTGCATACAAAAATGGCTAAGACATGCTCTCTAGTTAACTAGTGGCTTGTAAGCAAAGTAACAAGCCAGAGGTCTGGGCTGGGACCATGCCACAGGGGTGATGACCCAAGAACTGTCTTCAAGTAACCTTCAGGTAAGAGTGCTATGCAGGGTTACTGTAGCTCCGAGTGTTTGGAGCATCTAACAAAAAAATAAAGCAAGCCAAGTTTAAATGATAAACTCGTTATTTTTTTAGTCATATGGTCATGGATTGGACCCCAGGAATCTTCCACTAGTTGGGAGTTTATGGTTAATAGAACTTCAGATAAAAGATATCCTGCTGCATTAAATCAGAAAAACTGATGAAATAACCATAATGTAAAAGATTACTCACCAATAGGATGTTTGCAAGGATTAGTAGTGAACATCTCCTTAAAATATTCACTGCACATTGATAAAACAAACTTATGGGCAGGAAACAACTTGCCATCACATGCAAGTGTAGCATCTATGAGAGACTCCTGCAATGATAAAATTAAATAGATTTAGTAGCAAAATACACTGTTATACTGATGAGGACGCTTGTTACCTGGGAGCTACAAATCCCTAAATATGTGCAAGCACTTCATACATACTCTTGTGCCCTCTACATAAACTAAACAGCAACTCTAACCCAGAGTTCAAACATATCTGTAACATTCTAGCAATCTAAGAGAATGTAGCTATAAATGATAGTGTAGGCTATGAGTATACAGTGGTTTCTCTCTCTTTCTAATTTGTGTTCAGGTGTGTTTGAATTATAAAAAATCTAAATATAATAATTTGAACTCTCATTTATTTTGAAAAACTTACAAATGAGGGAGCATCTATTTTGCAATTCAGAACATTTGCCCTTATTTGTCTGAAGTGTGTAATTACAGGACTCAAAGCATCCAAACCTCTAATTTGCATAACTACAAGTTTACAAAACTTTTCAAAAATTACCTTCTCCAGGTAACAGAAATTACAAACTGTACTGAAAATTAATCCGACTCCAGACAGAAATTGGTGGCTGGTAGCCTTAGTTGTTTTGCTACAGTCTACTGATCCCAATCTTGCATATGCTGAGCACATGCTGGCTGCTTACATATACTTGTGCCTTTTTACATTTTTTTTTCACCATATTACTCTTGACGTTGCTTCTGGGTAGGATAGTGCAAATGTCTCGTAAGAAATGGAAGTAAGTTGCTCTTAATGTTAGGCAGAAATGAAACACTCAAGTACAGTATGCATAGAGAGAGCAGCTGTAAGAAAATTATGAGGAAATTCATCAGTGATGTATCAACTGTACATAACAAATTTATCCAGAGAGAGAAATTATATGAGTTTTATTCAGAAACTTGTCAGAAAAGGCCGTAGAGCATAGAAATATCTACTCAAGCTTAAATCTGACAAGTCAGAGATTTTAAATGAGTGGTTGAGAGAGAGCAGTTGAAAGCATGTCTTTAAGTGGTGATATACCGTAGTTCGCAAGAGAATCAGATTTTTCATGAAAAATGGGTATTAAACTCAATTTATATAACAATGAGTAGATAAAACTACTGTAAAATGAATTTGAATGCATGATGAAAGCACGAGTACTAATACTAAAGCACCACCACCACTCTGCCTGAAACACTATCTCTACTCAGTCACTAACTCCACTACATTAGCACCTACAATATGCATTTAATACTTTAGGCTTCACCTTGCCTACAACAACATTATCTCCACCCATGCAGCACTATCCCTACAACATACAACACACGTACTAATGCAAAAGCAATACAGTACATATACTGAGGGCAAGTCTGAAAACTTTTACCGTGGCATCTTAGCCTGAGGAAGGAGCAGGGGATTAAATGTCTACCCTATCAGCCAAGACAGAGCTACCGTACTGTTTGACAATGTTTAATAGTCTTACACAACACACAACATAGGAGAAAGAGAAGCTTACCATGACGTTTCAGTCCGACTTGGACCATTTACAAAGTCACATCAACACAAAAGAGTGAGGGAGCCAGTATAGTGTGACTTTGTAAATAGTCCAAGTTGGACCGAAACATCGTTATAAGCTTTTCTCTCTCCTTTATGCGGGTTATTTGGGTTGTTCCAGTCACGGTATTGTGCCTTTTTGTTCTTTAATAGCCTTCACTGATTTTTCTTCATAAATGTGTTTTTCAAGGATTTACATATTAGCTCTTACACTGTTACTCAGTCGTATAGTCCCATTTACAGTTATATCAATGAACCTACCTTACAAAGATCATTTGCAGAGAAACTTAAGAGAGCCTCAGTATATCAAAATTCTGGTGTAAATTTTTAGCTATCCTAAACTAAATAATTAGAAAATGGCTGCATTCATCGATTCCTAAACTGAATAAGTAGCATTAAATACTACAATAATAAGATAAAAAAACAGACACACACACTACTATAGTGCTCAAATACACGTATTATTACACTATACTTATTACCATATTCTCTATATATTAATGGGGAGGTGCTAAACCATAAGGGTCATACAGCACCTGGGGAATGAGAAGTAATCAATGATGATTCAAAGAAGGGGAGGCCCATTCAAATTCCTTGTATCAAGAACCCTGCAACATCATGACACCCCCAATGAAGGGTGTAAGGTTAAAGATAAACATGTTGTGCAATGTAACTTCCCTGGTGATGAAGAAATTAACAAAATGTGAATTTTAATGTAAATATTTAAATATAATCATTAATGAATTAAAATAACACAAAAACAAATTCAGTATACTGTACATACAATATATGCAGCAACACACACATGCAACCTACCTCTTCTCGCAGTGAGTAAAGAAGTTGAGATAATGTTGTTAGGTGGTTATTCCACCTCAGAGCTATCATTTCTTCATCCATGTTTGTCCTGAAAAATTTCAAAGATAAACTAAATGTACTGTAGTTTAGTCTCAATAGGTAATGGAAGAAAGTAATTCCATTATCTTAGTACAGAATATTTCCCAACACATTATAAAAAAAATTTAAGAAATGCTGTGATGTCATTTAACCCATTCACTGTTGGGACCCCCAAAATTAAGAGTGCTGACAGTGTCATGATTTAAAAAAAAATTATTCTAAATGGTAGAAAATATTTTTCAGGTGGTATTGACACCAAAAATGTGAAATTTGATGGAAAACTTACAAAATTATGCAAGTGCCAAGTTGACAGAGTAGGCACAATTTATGTATCAGTGATTTCTCCCACTGAGTCCTATGTAAACTCATTCCAGTGTTCTATTCAATCCAATTCCTAGCTATTTTGTTAGTATGCCTTCTATTATATCAGCTGAGAGCTTAAAACTGCTTATACAAATATCAAAATTACCCTATGAAGTGCATAGAAATCTGTAATTTGGCCAACTTTACACAAAATTCAACAAATTTCAATTTAAAAACAGAATCCAAAATAAACATTGTAGGCATTCCTGCCACTAAACCAGAATTATGCAGGCACAAAGCTGGTGATCTGGGTGCAATTTACTCATCAGCAATTTTGCCCAATTTGAGTAATAACTTAAGCCAATTCCAATGCTCAATTCACCCCAATCCCTAGCTATTTATTTTGTATGCCTTCCATTCTATTAATTGCATGCAAGAAAAAAATGCCCATTCAGTTATCAAAACTGTGCTTAGAAATTGGTAATTTAGCCAATTTTACATAAAATGAAAAAATCCATTTAAAAAACAGTGGCATTTTGACCACTAAACCAACATGTTCTATGTTCATTAATTACATGCTCAGGCTTCACCTATATAACACGTCCCTTCATCTGAATCCATCATCACACAAAAATGTCAAAATTGTAAAGGTAACGACAGTAAAAATGCAAAATTTGATGTAATATAAAATACACGAAGTTGGAGGTTGGGGAACATTTTTTTGCAACAGTGATTTTGTCCACCTTGAAGCCTATTTTAGGCCAACTGTAGTTCCCAAACCAACCCAATTTTTTGCTATTTCATTAGTACGCCTTCAGTACTATCCAATGATCACAATAAACTACCCATTCAATTGTCAAAACTACCCAGAAGTCAGTACCTTTACTTTTAATGGGTTTTGAGTTTTTCTACTCCCAGAGCCCAGCCTAGGGCCAGGCTTGTCTGGTCAACCAGGCTGTTTTCTGTTGTTAGGTTTATCAGGGCCACTGACACCTTTCGCCATATCGAGCCCAACTTCCATATGTATGGGGAAGATTTGTTGCCCAAAGCTGGGCGATGAAAGAAAAAGGAACAAGAGTTCCTTTGTAAACAGAAACAGGAACTACAAGTTCCCAACTGGATTAGGTGGACCCCCTTGCCAAGTACCAGCAGAGCGGGACGCCCACACTCCCACCAAAGTTCAGTAACTGGCTTTCCACCAAAACCATTAAAGAATTATCTGCAGAGCGGAAAAGTATATGAGGACAAAAGTACATCTGCAGAGTGGCAAAGTATATGAGGACAAGCATTCCAAAGAGAGCAGTGGAAATTTGTCACTGATACTCAGGTGAGAGCGAGACGTCCACACCCGACGAAGGCTGGCACAGAAATCCAACTAGGTTGTTGCTGCTGGAGGCCCAGTGGCCTACACATTCCTCACAGCCTGGTTGATCTGGCACCTGGTGGAGATACTTGTCCAATTTCCTCTTAAAAACTTCAACACTTGTCCCAACAGTGTTTCTCATATCTTCTGGCACGATGTTGAATAGCCTGGGGCCAAAGATGCTGATGCAATGTTCTTTTAGTGTGCCCACAGCTCCCCTGCTTTTCACTGGGTTTATTCTGCATTTGCACATACACATCTCTCACTCCAGTATGTTATGGCAATGTGCAGATTTGGGACTAGCCCTGTGAAGTACTTTCCATGAACATACAGTTAAGTATCCCTCTCTCCACTGAGTACATATTTAAGACTTTGAGGCATTCCCATTAATTTAAATGATTTATTGGCTCTATGCAGGCTGTAAATAATCCCTGTATCTGTTCCAGCTCCAATCTCTCTCTCTTGCCCTGTAAGGGGCACAATCAACACTGAACAATATTCTAAACGAGAGAGCACAAGCAATCTGAATAGTGTTACCATCAGCACTATTTCCCTTGTTTAGAAAGTTTTCATTATCCACCCCATCATCTTCCAGGCTGTTGTGACATATGCCTTATTGAGTTTTTTAAAGAAAGGTGAGCCGACATAATTACTCCCAAGACTTTCACATGTACCTTTTGTTTTTTTGATGGTCCTCTTGGGTTTTGTATACAGTGTCCCTTTTGAGTTCTTCATTCTTTCCATACCTAAGTAGCTGGAACTTATCACCATTGAATGTCATGTTGTTCTCCACTGGAAAACCCTGCTTATATCTTCCTGCAATTTTTCAGTGTCTTCTACCGAAGAGACTTTCGTGCCTACTTTGGTGCCATCTGCAAATGATGATACAAAACTGTAATGGGTGTTTTTATCTATGTCTGCTATGAGGATAAGAAAGAGTAGAGGCACTAGGACAGTACCTTGAGGTACTGTCCCGGCACCTGAGCTTTTTACCTTGCTAATGCTGGATTTTGTTCTGTTTACTACTACTTTTCGTGTCCTATCTGTCAGAAACTTGAAAAGTCATCTGCCTACCTTTCCCATTTTGCCTATGGCCCTCATTTTGTGTGCAGTGACCCCATGATGGCATTTGTCAAACAACTTTGCAAAATATGTGTAGTACTTTTATCACATCTGCATTTTGGGTTTCGTTCAACACTTCCACAATTCTGTTACTGTGGTATACCATTTGTGACAAGCATGATCTTTCATTTCTAAAACTGTGCTGGTTTGGGTTGTGCAGATTGTGCTGTACTATAAAGTTTGCAATTTGGCATCTTATCACTCTTTTGAAGACTTATATGTTAGGGCTACTGATCTGTAATTTTTAACTAGCACTCTATTACTTCCCTTATGCAGAGGAGTTATGTCTGCACTCTTCAAGGTCTCTGGTATTTCACCTAGATCTAGGCTCTTTTCTCAAAAGATACTAGTAAATATGTAAGTTTATTCAGGTGCAGGTACACACAAATTATTTTTTTATTATCACACTGGCCGATTCCCACCAAGGCAGGGTGGCCCGAAAAAGAAAAACTTTCACCATCATTCACTCCATCACTGTCTTGCCAGAAGGGTGCTTTACACTACAGTTTTTAAACTGCAACATTAACAACCTCCTTCAGAGTGCAGGCACTGTACTTCCCATCTCCAGGACTCAAGTCCGGCCTGCCGGTTTCCCTGAACCCCTTCATAAATGTTACTTCGCTCACACTCCAACAGTACGTCAAGTATTAAAAACCATTTGTCTCCATAGACTCCTATCAAACACGCTCACGCATGCCTGCTGGAAGTCCAAGCCCCTCGCACACAAAACCTCCTTTACTCCCTCCCTGAAACCTTTCCTAGGCCGACCCCTACCCCGCCTTCCTTCCACTACAGACTGATACACTCTTGAAGTCATTCTGTTTCGCTCCATTCTCTCAACATGTCCGAACCACCTCAACAACCCTTCCTCAGCCCTCTGGACAACAGTTTTGGTAATCCCGCACCTCCTCCTAACTTCCAAACTACGAATTCTCCGCATTATATTCACACCACACATTGCCCTCAAACATGACATCTCCACTGCCTCCAGCCTTCTCCTCGCTGCAACATTCATCACCCATGCTTCACACCCATATAAGAGCGTTGGTAAAACTATACTCTCATACATTCCCCTCTTTGCCTCCAAGGACAAAGTTCTTTGTCTCCACAGACTCCTAAGTAAACTCCAGGTAAGTGCACCACTCACCCTTTTCCTCTGCTGCGGCGGCAGCGGCAGCAACGGTATCCTACCAGCTCTTCTTTCTCAAAAAAACATCGCTCATCAAAACTTGTGATGGCCTAAGTGAAAGTTCAACTACATGAACCCACGTAGACCACAGCATGACCCAAGAATACTAAGAATGTAACCCAAATCTTGACAAAATTAGAAGATCTAAGGAAGACAGCCCTGCTAACCCAAACACTGCCTCAGCTGCCAGACAACCACTTAACCCAAGCTCCGAGAAAACAAGCCTTCTCCTCCATTGCTACACAGTATCTACTTCAGTGATACTATGAAAGGATATCGCAGAAGAAACAACACCAGTAATAAAAGAATAACAGCAAGGACCCTAGAACTCAACTTGTCTACCCAGCAGGATGCCGGTGTATCATCAACCCCCCTCACAGCCGCCACCCAGGCAACAACAACAACAAACATGGCTGACTCCCCCTCCAACTCCACTCCCTTCAAAGGATTCACCCATGATAACTCAGGTATGATTATTCCTGACAATATCAAGGACTACATCGTTGCTCTAGAAAATGAAATCAAAGATATCAAAGCAACACTCGAGCGACGAGAATCCAAGATAACCAACCTTGAGAACAAGATCCAAAACCTTGAAGAGAAGATTACATCGGGAAGTGTTGACACAGAAAATACTCTAAAAGCAGCTATAGCCAGTCACACTGAGCAAATAACAACAATAAATATGAAGGTTGAAAAAGCAATCAAGGACTGGAATCAGAACATGCACACTCGACTAAATGAATACCTTGATTTCCAAGACGACAAAACTGAACAAGATAAGTTGTCTGATGCAGTTATAATAAACAGTCCACACATTCCTAGTGACATAACACAAGCACAGTGCAAAGAAACTGCAATCAGGATAATACAGAACCACGTACAAGTCATCATGCAAAACAATGAAATCAAAGAAACACGTTTGCTAGGAAAACCAGGAAGTAAACACAGTATAATGATCCGACTTCATTCATAGGATAAAAGAAAGGACCTAATTAAATCAGCAATTACAATGAAAAATGGAGTGTACATAAATGAGTGTCTAACAAAAAAACGTCAAAACCTTCTGTTCAGGCTGAGAAAACTTAAACAGGAAAACAAAATACATCAGTGTTTCACGCGAGATGGGAAAATACTAGTAAGGAAAACATCAACAGGACAACACAATATACCATCTCAAATGAACATGATTTCTCTACCTTCCTTAGAAAAGCTGACATTTCTGTAACAGATTAGATAAGTGCCCTTAATACATATATGCGTGTGGTGCATATAGTATACGTTACTATTATATTGTGCATTATTATTTTTATTATTTTTCATCACTAGCTAATCCCAACTACCTCCAATACTCTATACTTCTTTCTTACTGCTATTAATTGCTCATAATTTTAAATTACAAGTCAAATCTTACTCCAAATTAATAATATTCATTATTCTTACCTGTCCATTTAATTTTGTTTATCACTACTTGTTTTTTAGTCACTTTTCATTGTGTATGCAATTAGTGTAATTTCCAATTACTTTTTTGCAAGTACCAAAACTATCTTTTGCTAGCTAGTACCAACTACCTCATTTTTTTTTTTTTACTTTTTATTGTGCAATAAACTGCTCAATTTATTTAATATTACAAATCGGATCTTACTCCTAAACCAATATTATTTCATAGTGACCATCTGTCCATTTAACTTTGTTTACCATTACTTAATTTTAGTCCCTTATATATTTTTCCTTTATTTTAGCTTTATATAACTACCCTAGTTTATATATTCACAATTGTTAAAATAATCAAGGTGCTATTCTCAGGTGCTAAAGTAGAATAAGTTCACAATTTTGCCATTATATTCCAAAGCTCATTTATTTGATTACCACTTTATTGTTCACCACAACTTATATTAGTCCCTTTTATATTATAATTTTATACTATAATTTTAACTTTAAAGAATTACCTTTATAGTACTACCTACTATCATATTCCCAAGCTCCATTATTTGATCATCACTTTATTTGTATTAGTCCCTTTTATATTGTCTCCTTTATTTTAGCTTAAAAAAAAAAAAACAACTACCTTAGCTCATTATTTTACATTTGTTAAATAATTCAGGTGCTATTTTTTAGCTTAAGACTATTTACTTTGTTTTATACTTAATTCTAACTATAGATTCACTACAAATCTTATGACTACAAGCATTGATCCTGATACCAACCTCTTATTTAATGACTTAAATGAATCAAACAGTTACTGTAATTACTACACTGCAGAACAATCATAGGCACTTCTCAGTGCCAACAACAACATAACTATCTTTAACTACAATATCAGATCTTTAAGCAAGCATTACGATGACCTCATAGCATTACTAAATTCCTTACATGCCAATATGTCCATCATTACACTAACTGAAAACTGGCTAAAGCCTGATAGTACAGATGTCTATGCCATTCCTGGTTACACAGCCATACACAACTGTAGGCCAGACCAACAAGGAGGTGGCACAGCCATATACTACTCAGACCAACTAGAATGTATCACTAATACTTGCACAAGGGATGAACATGGGGAATATATAATAGCCAAATTCAAATCCAAATACCTACAAAAACCTCTCACATTGATAAACATCTACAGAGTTCCACAGTCAAACATTAGCCAATTTAGTCAAAACCTAGGAAGTATGATAACTGATGCACGCATGAACAAAGATCACTTACTACTCTCAGGTGACTTCAATATAAATCTCCTGCAAGACCAGGACCCACACGTTACTGAATTCACAAACCACAATGAGTAACTGTATGTTGCTACCAACAGTAACAAAACCTACAAAGAGTTACAGAGACTAGTGTTTCCCTACTTGACCACATCTGGACCAACACCATATCCCCTTTAAAATCAGGCATAATTACAGATAATACCACAGACCACTACCCTACTTTCCTCATAACAACTCTTGGTAAACTACCCAAGACACTACTAAAGTCACCTTCAGACTTCACAATGAGGCAGCCATTAATAACTTCACAACAGCAGTAGCAAACACTGACTGGCACACTGAGCTAGAAATCTATACAGATATTGACGAATGTATTAATAATTTTCTAAAAAAGACCCAATACCTCTATAACAAGCACTGCCCTAAAAAAACTAACAGATGACAGCTAAGAGACTGAACAGTCCCTGGCTAACACCCAGCATTCTCAAATCCATAAATACAAAACACCAATATGAAAAACAGTACAGAATGGGTCACATAACCAGAGACCAAACAAAACGTTACTCGTCAATCCTAACCAGCCTGATAAGAAAGGCAAAAAAATTGTATTATGAGAACAGATTATCCAACTTACGAGGTGATATAAAAAAGACCTGGAAAACCCTATCAGAAATTCTGGGAACAAAAAAGATATCACGAAATAGCGCAATAAAATTAGCAAAATCAGATGAACCCCAACTCCCACCAACAGAAACAGCAAACAGACTCAATGATTTCTTCTCCACTATAGGACAAAACCTTGCCAATAAAATCCCAAGCTCAGATACCCCACCAAATGACTACCTCA